AGGGGGACAGGCGACAGGGGATATTCAAGGGGAAACACACCAAAAGCTAGATGCGAGAGACTAAACGTCTAGATAAACAAGCAATGCTCAAATCAACCAGCCTCCCTCTGCAGAGCACTGCGCATGGGCCACGTTCAACGAACCCAAACAGTGTTTCCATTACCCCGATGGGCTGTAATCCCCAGATGCCCTTACACGCATGACAGAAACTCTGCCCCTCTCGCCGGTGTGTCCTCACAGAGAAATCGGGAGACATTCTCTGGACTGCGGGGAGGGTTACAGGTGAACTGAACACATATCATCTTAACAATACACTGGCAAACAACTTTGGCTTTTGGTTCGTCGGAGTTAACTCCTACGCAACGCGATGTCGCCTCAGATTCTGCAATCCACCAATCGGGCCGCTCCAACTTTGGCTGCCTTCTCAGCATTTCTGATGAGCTGGGGCTGCTACCCGGGGCACACAAGGGGCAGAGCAGCTATTGAGAAAGAATGGAAGGCCACAGTCCCGTCGGAGGGGGAACAAAGTGCCAAAGAACGCTCCAGAGGCCAAAGTAAACAGGAAGGTTCTGAAGCAGCACTGGATGATCTCTGTCGCTGGCAGACCGTGCCCAAAGCTCTGCCCGGGCAGCATCTAGGCCCCGGGGGCTGGCACCAACTCAGCCTGGACACCCCCCAGCCTTGAGGTGCCAACGACAGCACATGCTGGTGCACTAAGGGGAGGAACGCTCCCCCGAATAAAGACAGGGGAATAACGCAACCTCTGGGCCACTATCTTAGAGAAGAAATCAGATTCAGTAAGACATTCGTGCTACTCGCACTGGAGGCAAGCAAGACACTGAGCCCGGCCAACTGCTCCGACTTGTCAAGTCATGATAATTTATTAACACAACTAAGCCAATTCCGCCTTCAAGGTTCTGCCCCCCTCCTGCCTTACTCCACCTGGACTCCTGCCCCATGCATGAGAACCAGAGAACTGAAACACAGTTAGCTCTTTCTCCAGGAAGGGTGCCTGGCTAAAGAGGTAAACTACCGGTTAGGTTAAGCTCTCAACGGTCTTGGAAGGAATGAATCTCATGTGTCCTGCCTGTTGCTTGGAGGCGCCCTGTGCAACCTGGCCCCTGGGGACCAGGGGACCCGGCCTCAGTTCCTGCCATGTCCCAGCACCCGGGAACTGTTTTGCCACCCACTCCCCTAACAAAAGCTGGGAACAAAGGGGGGAACGTTCCAGGCCTGTCCTGGAAAGAGCTGACCATTTTACTTCTGGGAGATCATCTGGAAGGTCTGTAGATGGAGACAGAGCAGCTCAAGGGCTCTGAAGGCCGTCTGGGGACAGCTAGGCTTGGGCTAAGGGCCTCGGCAGGGCACTGTCCTCCTTCCAGATCAACTGGAACCCAAGGGCCATAATGCTAAGTCCTGCAAACCAGGCGAACAGATCCTGGAGGGCAGCTTCCCAGGCACATCACTGAAGAGTACAGGTCCCTCCAAGTGTGGGCTCAAATGGCCAATGCCTGGCAAAGAGGGCGAACCAGCCCAGTTCCAACAGCTCCCCTGCTTCCAAGGCCTTTCCTCATCAGATTCTTCCCATATCCCACTAACCCTGCCTTCAGCCTGGGCCCCAGAAGGCAGGTCTTTAACGAGTTTATCTGGAAGACTGCCCCTGATTTCCTGGTGGGAATTCTCTTCAACAGATGATGCCCTTTCCTCAGGGAATTCGTACTTTACCAAGTGGTATAATTATGCCTGGAGTTTGGCTACTGCATGCAATTCCCTCAGATACAACAGTCCCCTCCCCTCCCCTCCCCTCCCAGGAGGAGGAACACCGAAGAGCCTTCTCCCCTCATCAGCCTAGACCGACCGTGCCAAGTCCGGCTGGATCCGGCAGGGCTGCCACCGACCCGGTCCACACCACAGAAACGGGAAAAGGTGCTGGCCCTCATAGAGCGACAGCAACACAGACCAAATAAGATACTCTTGGCAGAACTTTCTCCCCCAGACCCAGCTGGGGGCTCTCAGGAGCAGCCACTGGATCAGAAGGTGAGAAAGATGGGGACATGGCGGTTATCCCTCGGGGACAATCCTCTCAAGCAGAAGACTGCCCACACAGAGGCGGGACAGAGCCGAGGGCAGGGGACCTCCCCTAACACCTGCATCAGGCCTTGGTCTTTTCACTGGGGATGCACAGGGGGCTGGTGGCCAACAATGGCACTCATCGGGCCTCGTCCCTTTGGCCCAGGGCACAAAGTTAATGACGAAGGGACAAGAAGGAAGGAGCTCAGTGAATGTCTCTTTGAAAACTAAGGATAAGTGTATAGATATAGACCATGAAGATACTCGAGGATACCCCCAATCCCTGGTTTTCAGGTGCCCAGGAAGAATGCCCTTACCGGCCTGCCAGGGAGGCCTGGGACAGGGTTTATATTACATCCATTTGAGATGCCCGCAGACACGTAGATGGAGAACTGGCTGTCACCAAAGTTCTGTGGGAAGCAGTGCTGGGAGATTTCTGAACGAGCACAACCCCAATAAAGGCATCCGTCACCAGGTCAGATGGGCCGTTACCAAAGGACTGATCCCTAGTTGCTTTTTCAACCGACGGCTGGCAAAGCTAAGTGCAAGACTTTGTGTTAGAAACTATGATGGATGTAAAGGCGAACAGAACTCTGGTCCCCACCTCAAGTACTGTGCAGGGTATTAACTTTAGGACAAACCACTTGGCACGTCAACTTTCCCGGTGACAGTTTCGGAGCAGGGTGGCGGAGAATAGTGCTCTGCACAAGTCTGAGCGTTTCTCGGCAAGGTTTGGGAAAAGGACAGTTACCTAGGAATCCCGCCTGGCCCTGACACCTCCCGGGGCCGTCCTGAGGCTCCATCATGTCCATGTCTGTGAAATGAGCCATCGCGGTCAAAAACCAACCTCCTCTTCTGGAACAACGGAGGATGGTCGACAGCAGGCGGATCCCAAATTCAAACTTGGGAGAAGCAGCAAATATCAACTCAACTGGGTGATTCAACGGGGCGGCCGCCCTCCTCGGGTAACGGACCCGATGCCTCTGTGAAGGGAGGACTCCCTGGTCCTTGGGAGAACCCAGACTTCTAGGTCCCCCTAGGCAACCCCTGTGGCCAGAGACCCTCCCCCATCGCCCTTTCTCCATCCCTCTATGTCTGCTCAGCCTTCACCCACACCCACTCCTTCCCCTCCATCCTCGGAGATACATCACAAGCCTCCCCCCATGCGCCGCTCTTCCCCCCTAAAGAAAAGCAACCCCCCCACACAATGGGCCTGTAAGTATGGACTAGGCAGGGTGGCTGGCGGAATCAAATAGGTGGGTAACAGTCAGGGCAAGGGAAGCCAGAAGGACTTTTTCTGGCCACGGGGAAAGGATTTCAATGCTGAGAAGTTGGGAGCGCAGAGCAAAGCGCAGGATCCCCCTTCTCAGCTGGAAAGTTCTAGAGAACACAACAGGAAGGTAAGGAGAATCAAAGCCTCCCGAAGCAAGCAGGCCCTTGGGGGAAAGTCCTGTTGTTCCCCCATCGGACTGAGGCATTTACAGGTTTGGGGCAACTCAGGGGAGAGAGGGAAAGCTGAGATTCTGCTGGGTTCAAAGCATTTGCCCTGCACCCAAGTCCTAGGACGCTCACAGCCAAGTCACCCACTTGGGTAGAGGACACCATTCTCTCCTGTCTTCCCAGAGACTGCTCTCTCTGTAAAGAAGGGACAGAGCTCCTGGGCCTCTCCCAAATTTGCAGAAACACAGCCAGGGATAAAGAATCAGACTACGGAATGCCACACACTTTCCCGTGGGATCGGGTTCACTTGCAAATACTTCTGCAAGGAGTTAGGCTAGCACCTATGGTGCTATGGAACTTTCTGCCATGAGGGAAATGTCGTCTCTCGGAGCTGTGCCTTAAGGTGGCCAGCAGCTCACTAGTGACAGTGAATGGGCCCTTAAGATGTGGCTGGTGCCACGCAGAAATCGACTTTTTCCGTTTTGGTTCATTGCCACGTAAAAAGCCACAAGGACTAGTGGCTACATACCGGGCAGTGGGGCTCTCACTGACCAGCCCAGCAGAGTTCACCAGTCCACCGAAGCAAGACCGTTCTCTCTCTCTGTCACAGGCCAAGAATGCCGTCCACCCTCACCCTTCCACTTACATAAATGACAACCACCCAGACCGCCAGGGCCCAGCAAGTCACAGGGGAATAAACACACTTGGGCCTAAGATACCTCCCTGGGGGACTGACTGGCTGGTGGGGTGACAGGCAGGAGCCACATCCTATGCCTGAGCGGGACCCAACATGACTTTCCCACGGGTGGGTTCCATTCCAACTGGACCCTGAAGGTATATTCTGTTTTGTTTTTGTAACTCAGTACAGACTGGAGGTAATAGGCTCTGTCCCTGCAGAAGTGAACTCACACCCGCTGCCACGATCCACCACTCCAGCCCACCTCTCAAGACAAAGGTAGCAACGCCAAAGACGAAAGAGAGATCGTGGTGACAAGGTCCCACAAGCACAAGCCTCAGCGATCCTGTACCTCCACAGTTGACCGGGATGGGCAAGGGGCGGTCTCCTGCCTGCACACCTCCCAGCCACACAGCGCCTTACCAGACAGCACCGCCTCGGTGGCGCCAGCCGCCAGGGACGCCCCAACCTGCCCTGACTGACTGCAGAGATTTCAGCTGCCACCCCCGTAGCCCCACACTGCTGCCTCTCCTGGCCCCGTGCCCCTGGAAGCCACGGGCACTGGGGAAGGATGAAGAAATAAATGACCCCAGGTCGGGGGCCACAACAGTCCCGAAGAGGGTTAGGGGCTTGGGTACTGAAGAGGAGACGGTGCAGAGCTGGTGAAGGGGGCTCCAGGGGCCTGAACGGCCTGGGGTTTATTTCAACTGACACAATTGTCTCCAGGTTTCCAGACAGAAGGGCAAGGGGGGCCATGGGGAAAGCGTATGGAATCTGGGGAGCCACCCTGGGTTTGAAGCAAGGCTCCCAGTGAAGGCTCCAAGATGCTGGGGAAGGAAGGGACATGGGGCATGCTGAGGGGAGGGGACAGTGGCTGAAAGCCAACACATCAGGCTGGGGGATGCTGGAGGGAAGTGGGAAACCCTGAATTCAAGGAGAGAGGTACAGGGGGGCCGGGGAAACTGCAGGTCTGTGAAGGGAAGCCAGCTGAGCTCGGAATGGGCAGACTGAGATCTGGACTGGGGGAAAATGCAGGGAAGTGTAAACCAGGGTTTCAGGGGCAAAGAGGACCCAAGCTGAGGGGAGCGAGGCATTTGGTGTCTAGAGGGCTTGGGGAGCTCCAGGTCGGAGCAGAAAATGCCCCTAGGCCTGGTCTGAAGGCTGGAAGAGAGCCCCTCAGACACTAGGGGCCGAGGGACTGAGCAGGGCCTGAAACCTGAGGGAGCTGAGAAAGCAAGCCCAAATCCAAAGCGGGGG